TCTAGCAGCTCCAGCTTCAGCAGCTCCAGCTCCAGCAGAACCAACTGCAGTAGGACCGTCAGCTCCAGCAGCCTCAGCACCACCCCAAGACGCAACAGCGCCAGCAGAAACACCAGCGCCAACACCCCCAGCAGCTCTAGCTCCAGCAGCACCAGCACCGCCAGCAGCTCCAGCAGGACCAACTCCAGTAGCCCCACAAGCACCCCAGTCCTAGCAGCTCCAGGACCGCCAGTACGAGCACCTCCAGGACCAGCAGCAGCAGCAGTACCTACAGCTCCAGCAGCACGGCTCCAGCGGCGGGCAAACCAGTCACGCAGCTCCTGTGGAGAGAGTGGCTCCCGCCTCGACGAAGCACCGCCGGCGGCCACACGAGCAGGCCCAGCGCCCCCAGGCTCCGCACCCCCAGGCTCAGCACCCCCAGACCCAGCACCCCCAGGCTCAACACCCCCAGACTCAGCACCCCTAGTCTCAGCACCCCCAGACTCAACACCTCCAGACCCGGCACCCGCAGGCTCAGCACTTCTAGCAGCACCTGAGTCAACAGCTACCTCGACAGGCTCGACAGCGTCTACCTGGGACACACCTGACGGGGCAGGACCCTGAGGGGGAAGGGGGTCTACCGGGGGAGGACTTGGCGCAAGGAAGAGCGGCGGCGGGGGGAGGGGCGCAGTGCGGTAGGGGAAGAGACGGAAGTAAGGCACCGACTCGTCAAAGGTGACGTCCTGGGAGGACAGAACACGGCGCGAGGTGGGGTGGTAAAACTGCCAACCAGGCGCTTCAGGGGGGAAGCCAAGGAAGGCACAGGGAACAGCACGGGGGGACAGCTTGTCCGCAGACAAGTCGCGGACAAACGCCCGAGATCCCCCGACCTGAAACGCAGACGCATCGCCAACCTTCCCTGTCCACCGCAAGGCGGGGGAGGTCTCTGGCAAGGAGACCCAGGGCTGAAGCTTGAGCTGATGCGCGGCGTACTGAACCGCAAACGGCAACAGAAAATGAGGGGCAGCCGCATGCATCATGGACGTACGAGCGACGTCCATGACCATGCCAATGCGGCGCTCAGCAATCCCATTTTGCTGTGGAGAGGCCGGAAGCGTGAAGGTCTGGCGGATGCCCTGTGCACGACAGAAGGCTCCCACACGTGCAGAGGAAAACTCCCCGCCTCTGTCCGAGTGCAGACGCAGAATAGGTAAGTTCAAGCCGAAACTCTCCCTGAGCTGGAGACGAGCTGCGTGGATCTAGTCGATCAACACCTCAGTGACGTCACCCTTGCTGTGCAAGGGGAAGACTGTGGTGTAACGCGAGTAGTCGTCAACCACCAGCAGGAAGTAACGCTCGTGCCCCTGCCTGTGGACGCGGGCGGGTCCCCACACGTCCATGTGGAGGGTCTGTAGCGGAGCCTCTGTCGGAGGAAACTCGGAGGAGTGAGGGGCGGCGCGCTGTCGCCCCTGGACGCAGGGGACGCAGGTAGGGCCAGGCCCTGGAGGTCGGGGAGGGAGATACCGAGGGAGACCAGAGACACGGACACGGGAGGCCATGCCTCAGAGACGAGGCAGGGAGGGGTGACCAAGGCGGTGGTGCCAGAGGAGAGTCTGGTGGGACAATAGACGACACGAGCAGGGAGCAGACTCAGGACCAGACCTGGACGCTGCAGCAAGCACCTGACTCAACGCAGCTACCTGGCCAGACTCAGCAGCCGGAGGAGACTCAGTAGTAAGGATGTACAGGCTCGACCCTGGCTGATGGGTGAACGTGGCCAAGTGTCGGCCTGTCCGAGCACACGTGCAATGGGTCACCCGCTAACTCGCAGGAGTGAACTGGTCAACCCCTCTATCCTGTAGGTCCGCTCCACTCACCAAGTTCGTAGAGAACGAGGGGAGGTGGAGACCTGACAGGGTGCCAGAGGGGGCTGCCGGGCACGGTAAGACAATGGAGAAGCTAGCAAGGACAGGACCCCCAGAGGGGTCCGCGAGGGAGACTGCAACCGGCCGACTGAGCGGCGTAAGAGTGGTGCGGTCTCGAAAGAAGGAGCGGGACGCACCCGAGTCAAGGATGAAGGTGTGTAAGGCCTGAGCCGACGTAGTACCTGAGAGAGCAGACTCACCAGCACCTGGGGCAGCGAACGCACTAGCACCTAGGGCAGCAGACGCACTAGCACCTAGAGCAGCAGCCTCACCAGCACCTAGAGCAGTGGCCTCAATGCCCGGGTCAGTCAGTACACACAGGTAACAGTCACCCTCAACACTAGTAGTCAAAGAATACATGGCAGCAAGGATAGCATCATAGTCAAGATCAAAGATGGCAACCCCCGCCCTAGACAGATCTCCCCAGGGAGGGATCTCTGACGCCTCAGGGAACTGGTGACGCCAAGCGTCCGTCAGGCGGCCGAAGCAGCGCTGGGTGGAGTGCGGGCCCCCGCACTACTCACTTGCTCGGTCGCCGGTACGGAGGATGTAAGTGCAGGGACCAGTACCCCCACCGCGCTGACGCGCAGCGTACCACTCACGAAGCTGCTGAGGGGACAGGGTCACACCACTCCGCTGGTGCTGGTGCGGACCACCACCTGACCCACTCCTCTGCGCAGAGTCGCGACGCGCTCCACCACCGCCGCCGCCACCGCCGCCGCCTCCGCCGCCTCCTCCACCTCCGCCTCAGAGGGGCCGCAGAGGGGTCGCAAGGGGCCTAGACGGGGCCGCAGAGGGGCCGCAAGGTGCCTACACGGGGCCGAAGAGGGGCCGCAAGGGGCCTAAACGGGGCGGCGATGGGGCCGTAAGGGGCCGGAAAGGGCGCCGCGAGGGGCCGAAAGGGGGCCGCGCGAGGGCCGTAAGGGCGGCGCGAGGGGCCGTAAGGGGCTGTAAAGGCAGCGCGAGGGGCCGTAAGGGGCCGTAAGGGCGGCGCGAGGGGCCGTAGAGGGCGGCGCGAGGGGCCGTAAGGGCGGCGTAAGGGGTCGTGAGAGGGGCCACTATGGGCGGCGCGAAGTTAGGGAGGGCACACAGAGCGCGACTTGGGCAGGAGTGAAGCGCGGTCCGGGCAGGTGAAAAAAAATCGTGGTGGGCCCTAGGTAGCGTTCCCACTAGGGAACCTGCTCGATACCATGATAAGAAACGAGGAATGAGTGCATTGAGCAGAATGAGGAGTACAAGTAGCAAACCCTAAAGTGTTGTACCCCATATGAACTGCCCCACTACAGCCTACACGGACTATAGCATATATGCCTGACACCCACGTCTTCGTTTGAAATTTCAAATGTCTTATTTCCCACCCACCCACCCTAGCAAAAATTGCATGTTGTCATGTGTAATGTAGGTACCATATATATCCCGGACGAGAATGATGTAATGCCCATTTGAAACGAAGCTCGTTGCCATTGCAAACACAAGAAAGCAAGCTTTCTAAATATTGCTTTTGTATGCACATGATATGCTGAAATGCACCACACCAGTAAATCATACAAATGTGTGATAGTTAACGACCCAAAAACTAGGCTATCGCATCCCCTGCCTAGCATGGGGGGGAAGTCAATAGCTAAGTATTTGAATAATCAACTAGCACATGAAACAGTACAATCTGTTAACTTTAAAAAAGAGGTTCACTCTATCAAATCCAGCTCGAAGTGGCAAACACACGAGTCACTGAGTGCGCCAATGAACCTATGAGAAATGATAGAAATGAACCCTCTTCTTAAAATTGACAGACATGCATTGATATAGCAATGACAGATGAGATGAACACACACTCTCATACACACCACACACACGCACGCATGCACACTTACGAACATACGCACAAACACAAAAGAACAGACACACAACTAAGAGGAAAAAAAACCAGAGCTGCAAAATCATAATCAACAACAGTGAAAGATCTAACGACAAACATTATCCTTCTATTTTCGGAAATAGCCTCGACTGCCATGTGGTTACGACATATCACCTGACAAGCAAATGTCAAACTCATATTATATAGCTTGTGTAGGCTATAGTGGGGTAGACACTATGGGGTACAGTTTCCTAGGGTTTCCTACTTGTACCCAACTTTGTGCTAGTTCATTTCATTCCTCAATTCTCACATGGTATAGAGCAGGTTCCCTCGTGGGAACTTCCTAGGGCCCACCACTGAACTTCGACTTTTTTTTTCCAACCCTGAGATCGAGTCGCTCATGACCGAGGCGCGCCCAGTGTGCCGCCCTCCCCTTAGCGACCCGTCGTGCCGCCCACAGCGGCCCTCCCCCTCTCTCACGGCCCCTCGCGACCCCGTCGTCGCTCTTCTAGCGGCCCGTCGCGCTGCCCTCAGCGGCCCCTCCTCCACGGCCCCGTCGCCGCCCTATTGCGGCCCAGTCGCCGCCCTATCGCGGCCCCGTCGCCGCCCTCTTGCGGCCCCGTCGCCGCCCTATCGCGGCCCCGTCGCCGCCCTCTTGCGGCCCCGTCGCCGCCCTCTCGAGGCCCCGTCGCCGCCCTATCGCGGCCCCGTCGCCTCCCTCTCGCGGCCCCGTTACCGCCGTTCGCGGCCCCGTCGCCGCTCGTAGCGGCCCTGCAGCCGCCCCTCGCGGCCTCGTCGCCGCCCTCTTGCGGCCGAGTCGCTGCCCTCTAGCGGCCCCCGTGGCCGCCCTCTTGCGGCCTCGTCGCCGCCCCTCCGCGGCCCCGCTACCGCTCCTAAGCGGCCCCGACGCCGCCTCCTACGCGGCCTCGACGCCGCCTCTACCGAGCCGCCCAGCAGCGGAGCCGCCGAGCCGCCCAGCAGCAGAGCCGCCGAGCCACCCAACAGCCGAGCCGCCGAGACGCCCGACCGCCGAGCCGCCCAGCACATGAGCCGCCCAGCAGCCGAGCCGCCTAGCCGCCGATCCGCCCGACAGCCGAGCCGCCCAGCAGCCGATTCGCCGAGCCGCCCGACCGCCGAGCCGCCCAGCAGCCGAGCCGCTGAGCTGCTACCAGTCCTATCGACGCGCCCCGGCCCTACTTACTCGTACCGGTGAGCCCACTACTTGCTAGACCTCTGCAGTCATGGCTACCCCCAGTGTTCTTACATTTGACACTAAGGGCCGTGCTGTTGACTTTGAGGTCTGGGTCGATGACCTCCAGCTGTTCCTCCAGTGCGATAGGGCAGACGGCCTCTCCCAATCCGACCTCACCTCTGGTGCCTCCCCTGCCCCGCCTGCTACCGCTGACAGCACTGTTCGCTCACAGTGGGCGACACGCGATGCTGCTGCCCGTCTTGCTGTGCGTCGACACTTACCGACCACTGAGCGTGCACACTTTAGCCAGTACAAGAGTGCTCAGACCTTGTACGACGCTGTAGTTGCACGCTACTCTTCCCCTGCCACTGCTGCACCGAGCCGCCTCATGCTACCGTACCTCTTCCCTGACCTTGCTGCCTTTCCCACAGTCGCTGACCTCATTACGCACCTCCGCACTAGTGACACTCGCTACCGCGCTGCGCTTCCTGCTGAGTTCTACACCAAGAACCCCCCCCCCCCCAAGTACATCACCCTCTACTACATAGTCACCCAGCTCCCTGACTCTCTCCGCGTAGTCAGGGACCACTTCCTCTCAGTTTGCCCCACCACTCTCACCGTTGAACTCCTCGAGAAGGGCCTCCTAGCAGCAGAGAAGAGCATAGTCGCTGTAGGAGCCTCTCGTGGTGATCCTCGCACCCCCGTCTTTGAGGGGTGTTCCCCCTCTCCCCTCTTGCCCTCTATTGCTTATGCTGCTGCTGCCGACCTCGTTGGTTTCGAGTCGGTCGGCGCTGCGTCTGCCCCTAGCCGGAGACGCCGCACCGGCAAGGGCAAGGGGGGCAAGGGCGCTGGAGGGGCTGGCGGGGGCGGTGGAGGTGGTGGTGGAGGCAGTGGAGGGGGTGGGGGTGGTGGTGGGAGTGGTGGCGGGGGTGGCGGCGGCGGCGGCAGCAGTGGAGGCGGAGGAGGCGGCGGTGGTGGCGGAGGGAGCGGAGGCGGCGGAGGTGGTGGAGGAGGCGGAGGTGGAGGAGGCGGCGGAGGCGGCGGCGGTGGCGGCGGCGGTGGTGGAGCGCGTCGCGACTCTGCGCAGAGGAGTGGGTCAGGTGGTGGTCCGCACCAGCACCAGCGGAGTGGTGTGACCCTGTCCCCTCAGCAGCTTCGTGAGTGGTACGCTGCGCGTCAGCGCGGTGGGGGTACTGGTCCCTGCACTTACATCCTCCGTACCGGCGACCGAGCAAGTGAGCAGTGCGGGGGCCCGCACTCCAACCAGCGCTGCTTCGGCCGCTTGACGGACGCTTGGCGTCACCAGTTCCCTGAGGCGTCAGAGATCCCTCCCTGGGGAGATCTGTCTAGGGCGGGGGTTGCCATCTTTGATCTTGACTATGATGCTATCCTTGCTGCCATGTATTCTTTGACTACTAGTGTTGAGGGTGACTGTTACCTGTGTGTACCGCCTGACCCGGGCATTGAGGCCACTGCTCTAGGTGCTGGTGAGGCTGCTGCTCTAGGTGCTAGTGCGTCTGCTGCCCTAGGTGCTAGTGCGTCCGCTGCCCCAGGTGCTGGTGAGTCTGCTCTCTTAGGTACTACGTCGGCTCAGGCCTTACACACCTTCATCCTTGACTCGGGTGCGTCCCGCTCCTTCTTTCGAGACCGCACCACTCTTACGCCGCTCAGTCGGCCGGTTGCAGTCTCCCTCGCGGACCCCTCTGGGGGTCCTGTCCTTGCTAGCTTCTCCATTGTCTTACCGTGCCCGGCAGCCCCCTCTGGCACCCTGTCAGGTCTCTACCTCCCCTCGTTCTCTACGAACTTGGTGAGTGGAGCGGACCTACAGGATAGAGGGGTTGACCAGTTCACTCCTGCGAGTTAGCGGGTGACCCACTGCACGTGTGCTCGGACAGGCCGACACTTGGTGTGAGAGTACGACGGCTTATGCCAGCTATGCTTGCTTGCCTTTACTTTATTATGCTATTTCTAGCATAGGATAATCATATGCATGCATGAATTGCTTGATTTCCTAGGCTAGGTGCTTTCCTATATTTTATTTTAGTTATAGCACCGAGCTAGGTTGCGTGCACCGAATTCTGGCTTTTCGGTTGCCACCGAATTGCCTTCTACCGAATTCGGTAAGGATATGTTCGGGACGCTTCGCGACCCGCGGAACCTTCGCGTAACACCTGGTTACGGGGCCTTGTGTCGAGCCTATATATAGCCTCGTGTTGTACCCAGGTGATCATTCAATTCAATTTGAATCATCTTTTCTGAGCTCGATCCCAGATCCTCACACTTGGTAATCAGAGCGGGTTTACACGCGAGGTCTTCAACCGCTTAGTTCCGGCCTTTAAAAACCGCGGGGGCGACGACGAAAGCGCCGATACGAGTATGTAAAACCAGTTCCGCGCAATTTTTCTAAGTCCCCCTCGATTCGGTTTTTGAACACCCCTCAGATTTACCGGTGGAAAGGTTGGAGTTTCGACCGTTCGATCGAGTTTCATCTCAACGGCCCAGAGAATTTCGCCCAAAAACGTTGGAATTTGGAGCGTCGGATCGATTTTCTCCTCAACGGCCAAGATCGGACGCGAATTTTGCCTAAGGGAGATTTACGCAACCTATAGAATTCGCGCTCGTCGATTCTACAGTCAATTTGACTCGCAGTGAGTCGACCAGCACCTAGAATTCGATTATTTTCGTCGCGCATCTTCCTGTAAATCGCCAAATGGAGGGAAAAGGAGATATTTTAGTACAGAAAATCGCGGAGTTACGTGCTGAGCATAAGCAAATACGTGCAGCGCTCCCACGACTCGAAAAACTCCTTGCGAACCAGTCAGCAACCGCCACAGCAGCAGCGACAACAGTAGCAGCAGCAGCAGCGGCTACACCGACAATTCTACATGCGACAACGGCAGCAGCTACAGTTAACCTCGAAGCAGTGAAGCTGAGGCTACCGGAGGCGTTCGATCCTACAGAAAAAAGGAACGACGTTCGTCGATTTGTAGCTGAACTCGAAATTTACTTCGGAGCCGTTAGATGCACGACCCTGACAAAAGACGCAATGCGCATACGGCTCGCAGCAACACTGTTACGAGGCCCAGCTCTAGAGTGGATCAATAACAGAATAGTCCAAGGCGAGGGGACGTGGGCGCAGTTTCCGGCAGCACTGATCGAACAGTTCGACACGTTGAACAGTAGCTACTACGGAACACGACGCAACAAGCCAACTAGTGGCATGGGTCGATTGGCACCACCCACGACTGCCGACCTGATGGAGAACGACGAGGGCGATGTGGAGCAGCGGCTAGCAAATAATGAGACGTGCAAATTTTGCGGCGCTACAGGACATCGTATCTTGGCGTGTTGGTAAATGGAGAGAAGGTGTGTGGAGCTGAAGGACAAGAACAGTGCGGCACCCCCGAAGCAGAAAACGGACAACGTGGCAACTTCGGAGAGGGCGAAAAAAGGAGAATATGGTGGCGCAAATTTAAAACGTCACGACCAGCCGGCACCAGGGGAAATCGCCGAGACTAATGGAGGATCCGCGAAACAAGACCCTGCACCGACCAGGAAACTCCAGCCGTATACCCCGACTAGTAAGAATATTACTTCTCGTGGGTTTCAAGCCTTTATTAAGGGAGAGTCAGAAATTAAACCGGTACCGGGTATTATGGGGACCCTACTCCAGAGCGCTAATACGGGTCGAGCGTTCCGAGGAGTAAATATTCTCTCCCAGCAGCACTGTTTAAAGGCTCCCTGTTCCCCACAGATGAAGCCTACACAGCTGCAAAGGCTTAGTGGAAGGTTCCAGGCCCAAGAGAAGCCGAATCAGCCTCGGATAAATCCTTCTAACCTTTCTCAGTTGAAAACTGATACTGAAGCTGCATCTTTGAGCGCAGGACCTAGGGATAACATATTCGACGTACCCTACGATCCTATAAGCGATACCATCCACGGATACTCGGAGCAGCACGCACCCACGAGCACGAGATCGTGGAGGAACCAGGTGCGAAACCCGTCTCACGTGCACCATACCGACTGAGCCCAACTGAACTGACAGACATGAAAAACAGATAGAGTATCTACTAGACAGACAACTGATCCGCCCATCCACCTCTCCCTACGGTGCACCAGTTCTCTTCACTCCAAAGCCAGACGGTAGTTTACGGATGTGCATCGACTACCGCGCACTGAACAAACAGACAGCACTGACTACAGCGCCAGTACTTTTCCTACCGGATCCAGACAGAGACTACGTGGTGGAAGCAGACGCTAGTGACCAAGCAGTCGGAGCAGTACTGATGCAGCATCACGAACGCAGTTTGCAGCCCATCGCCTACCTCAGTAAGATGCTATTACAGTGGAAGAAGGACTTAGCTATAAGGAAGGGTTTAGGAAAGATTTGGGTACCGAATTACGCCCCGCTACGGCAGATCCTATTGGAGGAGTTTCACGACGTACCTTACGCGAGACATTTCGGGAGCAACAAGACGTTAGCAGGGATAGCGAAGTATTACTACTGGTCCGAGATGGCAGCAGACGTGCAGCAGTTCGTCACCTCTTGCGACACGTGCCAGCGGATGAAGAGCAGCAAGCAGAAAAAAGCAGGGTTACTTTTGCCTCTACCCGTACCGGAGCAGCCATGGCAGGTCGTTAGCCTCGACTTCATCACAGGAGTTCCTTCGACCTCACGGGGACATGATTCCATCCTTGTGGTGATCGATAAGTTCTCCAAAATGGGTCACTTCATACCAACCAACGCCACAGCTACAGCTGAAGCAACTGCTCGACTCTTCTTCGACCGCATCATCACCATCCACGGCATCCCCGCTACACTCATCTCAGACAGAGACCCCAAATTCACGAGTAAGCTCTGGAAGGAGCTCATGGGACTGTTGAGGACAAAGCTTACAATGTCTTCAGCATACCACCCCCAGACTGACGGACAGACAGAGCGACTCAATCAAGTGGTTGAACAGTTACTTCGCACAGCTTGCAAGGACGACGTCAGCCACTGGGACACACAGTTACCAACCCTAGAGTTCGCTTACAACAACGCATCACATGCGGCCACAAGAAAAACTCCTTTCTTCCTGTTTTACGGACGGGAACCACTCACACCACAGCAGCCAACCACACCGGCATACGTCCAAGCCGCACATGACTTCGTCACCACCATGCAGCAGCTATGGGAGAAGACTCAGCGACGTCTCACCACGATGCAGAACTCCCAGAAGCAGTATGCCGATCGTCAGCAACGTGATCACTCAGTAGCAGTCGGAGATCAGGTGCTTCTTGACACGCGCAACTTGAACCTATCTCACCTCCCATCCAAACTCCGGCCTCGCTTCTGTGGTCCTTTTCTCGTTGAGGCACAGGTGACACCAGTTACATTCCGCTTGCGCTTACCAGATACATGGAAGCTTCACAACGCTTTCCATGTCCAGCTACTGAAGCCCTACAAGGACCCCAACCAATAGTTCCAGGGACGGCAACTACCGCCACCACCACATGTTCTCATACACGATGAACCCGAGTACGAGATTGAGCGCGTTCTCTCTCATCGGCGCCGCGGTGGCAAGACCCTTGAGTTCCTGATACGCTGGAAGGGATACGACCCCACTGAGGACAGTTGGGTTGTAGAAGCTGATATGGGCAACGCACGTCGTGCTCTCAAGGACTATCTTGTCAAGCAGGGTGTATCTCACGCCACCCAGCATTGAGGGGGGGACGTGTGAGAGTACGACGGCTTATGCCAGCTATGCTTGCTTGCCTTTACTTTATTATGCTATTTCTAGCATAGGATAATCATATGCATGCATGAATTGCTTGATTTCCTAGGCTAGGTGCTTTCCTATATTATAGTTATAGCACCGAGCTAGGTTGCGTGCACCGAATTCTGGCTTTTCGGTTGCCACCGAATTGCCTTCTACCGAATTCGGTAAGGATCTGTTCGGGACGCTTCGCGACCCGCGGAACCTTCACGTAACACTTGGTTACGGGGCCTTGTGTCGAGCCTATATATAGCCTCGTGTTGTACCCAGGTGATCATTCAATTCAATTTGAATCATCTTTTCTGAGCTCGATCCCAGATCCTCACACTTGGCCACGTTCACCCGTCGGCCAGGGTCGAGCCTGTACACCCTTACTACTGAGTCTCCTCCGGCTGCTGAGTCTGGCCAGGTAGCTGCGTCGAGTCAAGTGTTTGCTGCAGCGTCCAGGTCTGGTACTGAGTCTGCTCCCTGCTCGTGTCGTCTACTATCCCACCAGACTCTCCTCTGGCACCACCGCCTTGGTCACCCCTCCTTGCCTCGTCTCCAAGGCATGGCCTCCCGTGTCCTTGTCTCTGGTCTCCCTCGGTCTCTCCCTCCCCTACCTCCGGGGCCTGGCCCTACCTGCGTCCCCTGCGTCGAGGGGCGACAGCACGCTGAGTTTCCTCTGAGTTTCCTCCGAGTTTCCTCTGACAGAGGCTCCGCTACAGACCCTCCACATGGACGTGTGGGGCCCCGCCCCACGTCCGTGGGCAGGGGCATGAGCGTTACTTCCTGCTGGTGGTTGATGACTACTCGCGTTACACCACAGTCTTCCCCTTGCGCAGCAAGGGTGACGTCACTGAGGTGTTAATCGACTGGATCCGCGCAGCTCGTCTCCAGCTCAGGGAGAGTTTCGGCTCGGACTTTCCTGTTCTGCGTCTGCACTCGGACAGAGGCGGGGAGGTTTCCTCTGCCCGTCTGGGAGCCTTCTGTCGTGCACAAGGCATCCGCCAGACGTTCACGCTTCCGGCCTCTCCACAGCAAAATGGGATTGCTGAGCGCCGCATTGGCATGGTCATGGACGTCGCTCGTACGTCCATGATGCATGCGGCTGCCCCCCATTTTC